TGCAAGGGATAGAGACAAGGCATGATAGGAAGAGAAAGGTACCCCAAACAAAATAAGGATTAGCAACTAAGATCAGATGACACATAACCTTTCTGCTACTGGGAAACAAACCAAAGCGCTCAAGGTCAGAGACACAAAAGGAATAGGGTGGAGGGAAGATGGTACAGAGGACAAAGAGCTTCTCTTAGCATCTGGCCTGCTCTACTTCTTAAGTGATGAGATTGTCCTATTCAAGAAGCAGTTGGAGATTACTACCAACGACAGGACACCAAATAAGAGAATTATCAGATATGTTAGTTTGTACCAAATCCAAATCCTATGCATTATCCAAATAAAAGTATTTCCTTCACATAATGAGGTTCTACAGATGTTCCTGTTTTCAAGTGGCATTACCACAGTTTTACTGGACCCTGGAACACACTACAATTCCTCAATTAAATCTATAATCACTCAAATGAGATCAACCCAGTCCGTGATCCCTAGAAGGTATATGAAATGGATCAAGAAGGCATTTTTTTCCCCCAGATTATGGTAGTGATTACTGATTTCATCAGTAATTAATTCCATTGGGTCCAGAAGTGGGGAACCTGCGGCCTCAAGGCCATATGTAGCCTTCTAGGTCCTCGGATGCAGCCTTATGACCAAGTCCAAGTTTGGATTCAAAGGGCTGCACTTGAGGACCTAGAAGACTACATGTGGCCTTGAGGCCGCAGGTTCCCCACCCCTGGTGTTAGTCTATCAGTACGTATATCTTAGACAGTTACAACAGACAAATAATGAAAGAGACCCCTGATATAAGCGCAGAATGCTGAACTAAATGTGAAAAATGGCATAAGACTCTCAATGATTTCAAGTTACTCTGTGCCACCAAAGTCCTTTTTTTTTTTTTAAGGTTGACCAACCATTTAATTTTTCTCTGATCAGTTCAGAAATGTTGATGGGCAGATAGCTCTTTACACAGGCTTCGGAGGGGGTCTGGGAGCAGCACCTGCAGATCTGAAGCAGGGTGGGGGCGTCCGATCCTTTCGTGCCTCACGGACCGATTCCTCACTACCTTGCTGTGGATCGCGCAGCTCACACAGTGATGCAGTTTCTCATACAGTTTGGGCAGCACATAGGAGTCGAAGATGGCTGGCCTCGGAGATGTCCCTGACCGCTGCGGCTTCCACGATGCTGCCGATGACGAACTTCTTGATGGCCTCGTCCTTGGGCACGCAGCAGGCGCAGGTGGTGCAGCGGCCGGGCTGCGCGTGGCCGAGGCTGTTCTTCGCCTGCCCGTTGGCCTCGTCTTCTCGGTCATCTCGGAAGCCAGGAACCGCAAAAAGCCATTTCTTTTTTAATGGAATTCTCACAGTGGTGCTATTGTATGTGGTTGGAACCATAATTTTTGAAGAATCAAACATTTGAGTGAGCCAGAGGGGTAGAAAGATGGAAGGCGGGTACAAGGGTGAAGTGTTTTACCAACTTTTATTTGCACACAAGAAGCATACAGCATCAAGGTTATAACAGGGTGTCCCAAAGTTCAGCTTTAATAGCTGAACTGAAGGGTTCAAGGTCAGAGACGCGGAAGGAAGAGAGTGGAGGGAAGATGGAGGGAAGAGATTGGAGGGAAGATGTCAGCTATTAAATCCTAAATCTGCGCTAAGATTTTTTAGGACACCCTGTAATATGACTAGGATAGCAGGTCAGCCAGTCATGTGGAAAGAGCTTTTGTTGTTGTTCGGTCATATCCAGCTCTGTGACCCCATTTGGGGTTTTCTTGGCAAAAATCCTGGAGTGGTTTGCCATTTCCTTCTCCAGCTCATTTTACAGATGAGGAAACTGAGGCAAACAGAGTTAAGCAACTTGTGCAGAGTCACACAGCTAGGAAGTGTCTGAGGGCAGATCTGAACTCACAAAGATGAGTCTTTCTGATCCCAGGCCTGGCACTCTAACCATTAGGCCACCTAACTGCCCTGTAACAAGAGCCACAGATAGACAATACAGGTTGTTGTATTATGTCCTTGAAATGTTAAAAGATACAGAGGAAGTCCTAAAGAATGTTGGCTTGGTCTTCTGTAGAATATTTGTGAGCAAGAATTGCATAGGATAGATAAATCTTGATCTGCCCTGGTGGAGGGAAAAATCACCCTGACATAATAGATCCAGTGAAGATGGTCAAATTGAATAATTCAGGAAAAAGGAGACTACTGCATGATCCAAGTTCACTTAATTGTTCACAGCTCTGTTGCTACTCTTTTGATTATGCTGACTAGCCCCAGCATAAGAATGAAGTCATAAAAACAAGCCATTCATTTTTTCCTTTGACTTTTTTCTAATTTAATTTTTTCAATGAATGAAAATCTATTTTCTCTCCCCCTACCCCCAAAAGAAAGAAAAAACAAAACACTCATAACAAATATGCATAGTCAATCAAAACAACTTCTCTCATTGGCCATGTCCAAACAATACATTTCACTCTGCACCAAGAGTCTACTCTATGACTTCTTCTCAGGAGGTGGGTAGAGTTCTTTATCAATAGTTCTCTAGAATCTTGGTTGATCATTGTGTTGATCAGAGTTCTCAAGCCTTTCAGAGTTGTTTATACTAAGAATGTTGTTATTACTATATAAATTATTCTCTTGGTTCTACTCACTTTCCTCTTCATTAGTTTAATGCATGTCTTCCCAGGTTTCTCTGAAACTTATCCCTTCATCATTTCTTATTGTACAATAACATGCCCGTGTGCTAGGGGACACAGCAAGTTCCATGTTAGAACTGGGCATGCCTAGAGCAGTCCTGGGTTACATTCATATGCCATCAGTTGTATAGCCAGTGCCCAATTCATAGGCACTACCTTAACTTCCAGTGCCTTAGCTATCATAAAAAAAGCTTCTATAAAATATTTATATAGCTAGCTAGCTAGCTAGCTAGCTAGCTAGCTAGCTAGCTAGATAGATATTGTTTCCCTCTAGTTTTTTTTTAATCACTTTGGGGTCATAGACCTACTACTAGTAGGTAGGAAGACTGCTGGGCGGAAAATACTGTCAGAGGAGTATAGCTTCGAGGGAAGTGATTAAATGGCTGATCTGGACTCTCTCCTTAAAAAGGGAGGATCTAGGAGGAGCTCTCCATTGTCCAGAAAGATACCTTTCTGATCAGAGGAAGGAAAGGTCCCCAAGGCAGAGAGTACTGAAGAGGTACTAGTTCCAGAGTTTATGTGATCTTACAGGATTATGAGTTTCTGGAGACCATGATGAAGATTAACAGTGCAGTCTGATGAGAAATGAGGAGATGGATACACTGGGTGCCTTTCTTAAATGTGGCTCTCCACTGTTCACCCTTTACTCTCTCCAATCAGAGAAATATAGGAGCCCCAGGGGCACAACATGCACCAGTATTATTGGGAAAATTTTAATTAAAAACTAAGATACAGTTAAAAAAAAACCCCTTTGTTAGACAAAGTAAATAAGAAGAGAATTACCCAGAAAAAAAGGGGGTTAAAAGGAATTATCAAAAGTTCACCAAATATTTGTTTTTTGTTTTGGGGTATTGCTGATCATAGTTAATGTATATGTGGGTGGCTGGGTGCAAAGGGCAATGTGCAAATCAACAATGCTTTCCTCATCATGTACATGTGAAGATCATTTTATGGTTTCAGCTATTGCTACAGCCTGTTGCTGATAACAGCTCTACCTCCCAACCTCTTGAGTCCTGTGACAATAGTTAACTTTTATTGCTACATACAACTTCTCAGAATATTAATTTTTAAAGTAGTCCATTGTACTCATTCATTTAAGTCCCAAAATTAAAATGAGAGAAGTATTAAGCATAAGGTATACATGTTAATAGAATTAAATTCTTAAGAGTGTTAAGTTTCTTAGATTTGTACACAGTTTTACCTTCTGAGGGGATTCAGATTAATCAGGGGAGTTTACAAAGCAAATATGCAAGTTTTGCAAGAGTAAGCATATCAGCCTTTCCAATTTTTCTCTCTTCTCCTCAATTCCTCTTTTCCCCTTATCTAAAACAGGAAAGAGAGTCAACATCATAATTGAGCTCAGTAGTTATTCTGGGATTTCTTGGTTTCAGGTGGGCTAAAACGTTAAGCAGGGTATCTATAGGAGTGAGACTTCAAATGGCTTACAAATGGCAGATAACCCCACACTCCCCACCCCATAAGATAGCTGGAAAATTTTCCAGGGTGGACTGTTTGGGAAGATTACAGTTCCTATTTTACCTCTCTTTTCTAGTCCTCTCTAGTGCCCCTCCCATTTTGATTACTGTTAGCTATTTAGTTGATCATATAACTTTAATGATATAAAGATGTTTATTTGGACTAACACAAAGCCTTCATGAGAGACTATGACTGTAAGCAGCTGTGTACAGTGAGAGCTAAAGAGAGTGTTAGTAGGCATTTTTCTTTCCCCCTTCCCCTAAAAGAAAAAACAAAACACTCATAATAAATATGCATAGTCAATCAAAATAGCTTCTTTCATTGGCCATGTCCAAAAAATATGTTTCAGTCTGCATCAAGAGTCTATGACCTCTTCTCAGGAGGTGGGTAGAGTCCTTCATCATTAGTTCTCTAGAATCTTGGTTCCGCCTGATGAGTTACAATAATTATGAACACTGGGTATTCATTGCCCATCAACGGCGGGCACCGGGTATTCACTGTCCATCAATGGTGGGCACCGGGTATTCACTGGCCATCTCCTCACCGTATTTCACCAATTTTCCCACAATACTTTTATTATGTAATGACCCAGGGCCTCCTCTTTACGCTTTCATCTATCCCTTTCCTCTACTTCCCCTCTTGTTTTTCACTATTCCAGCCTTGACATTTCCACTTCCTGCTTGTCTTGCAGAGCGCACCCGCCCTCTCCACGCCACCGTCTTTCCTCCGTTTCTTCCCTTCCGACTCGGAGGAGGCGATGGCGGCCCCTCACGCTCGGGGTGAGCCAGTGGCTGGCACACGGTAGCTCCCTAAGAAACGCTTTTCCACCTTGAATCCCATTTATTTTGCTCCCTGCCTTTGAAAAGTCTCTTTCTCTAACTTTCCTATTTACGACAACAATACCACCCCCTTCTTGATAAGCTGGGCTCTGGGAGTGTGTTTGCGTGTCAGCGCCGCGCGAGACCTCGAGGCCCAGGCGGGGAACCCCGCGCTGCTTCCCCATAGGGGGTGGGTCATCGTTTGTGAGTGGCTGATTAAATGGTCAGGCTTGCACTGCTGATCCTTGGGGTGGCGGGCGACGGTTGGAAAAGGTGGGGGAAGGGCGTAGGCGTGCGTCTATACGTACGTACGTACGAACGTGGACCGGGTCGCGGAACAGAAATGGCGGGCGCAGACTCTGAGCCCAGGCACCTGATGCGTGACCAGGCGGGTTCGTTCTCCTTTTTCTCGGTCGGGCCTAGTCGCTCCCGTGCGCTCCCCCTCCCCTCCAAGTTCAGGAAGTTCGGCCTCACACGTGGTGGGGGAAGGGCACGCATTTCCTCTGCTTCGTTCCCCCCCCTCCAATCCCAACCCTCCCCTCCCTTCTCGGTTGGTTTCGTTCTCTGTAGGGGCCCCCATTTCTCTCCTGCCTTGCTTTTCACTGTTGGAGGCAGAAGTTCTTAATCTGGCCGCTGGATAGATTTGGGCTGGGGTGGGTGGGGCCGGTGAACTTGGAGAGAAAGAAAATCACATCTTTATTTTCACTGACCAATAACCCAAGTTTTGCATTTATTCAAAGATTTAAAAACATCGTTCAGAGAACGAGTCCACAGCCAGTCATCAAACCTCCAAAGGCGTCCGTGCACCCAGAAGGAGACGCCATCCTAGAATGTTCTTGTCATCCGTGGAAGAAAGAGTTGTTAGTGGTTTTCAGGTGGTCAGAACTGGAAAGTTTTCCCCACTCGCTTAGGAGAGAAGGAATGGATAAAACTTGATAAAAGAACATTGGTTTTATTTCTTTTTCCACAGGCAACAAAGGAAGAATAGATAGAAATACTTGAAACTGGATGGGATGGAAAGGTATGAATTTCCATTATTTCCAGGGAAATAATTTTTTTTTGCCTTTTTTTTTTGTGAGGCAATCAGGGTTAAGTGACTTGCCCAGGGTCACACAGCTAAGTGTCAAGTGTCTGAGGCCAGAGTTGTACTCCGGTCCTCCTGATTCCAAGGCTATCCACTTCGCCACCTAGCTGCCTGAAATAATCTTTTCATTGAGTTGTTTCTATAGTGCAGGTTGTACTGTTAAACATTTCGTGAACAAAGCACAGACACAGGGAATATAGACCTAGTGATGTCAAAGGTAAGGAGATGAAAAAAAAAACCCAAGCCTAAAGTGGACCTTATCATATAGTGTTTTATAATTTGAAAAGATCTTTGCTCACTATCTCTTTTGAATCTTACAATGACCTTTTGAAGTAGATACTAAAGATTTTATTGTCCCCTTTTAGAGCTGAAGAAGCTGGTCCACATGGGCAACTTAACTTACTTATGGTGGGGCAGCTAGGTAAGTGTCACAGGTAGGATTTGAAATCAGACCTCCCAAGATTAGTGCTATTTTCATTCCATTAGGATTTTCCATTTTTAAGGTGGGCTATGCAAGGTCCTATTTGTCACTTTACTTTCCCCTAAGCACCTATGACTCTTCCTTGGCAATTTACTTATTTCAATGTTAGTCACTGTATAGTCCCAGTGTGTACAATAACGGGGAAAGAGGGAAGGTCACTGTGCCATTAGAATTTATTTGTCACTAAGTAGGCTGTTAGAATGTTTGAGCTATTTGAATGGAATGGATCCATTGGGTAAAGATGTTGGAAAATGCATGGTATATTTTAGGCCAGTCAACTCTGGAAAATCCTTGGGAACCATAAAGTGTTTTAAATTGGGGTTAGTATAAAATGAAAAGATAAAGTTGGTGAAGTAATAATGATAAATGTTTCATGAATGGAAGTTTCTCTACTCTCCCCACTTTTTCCCATTCTCCCTTCTTCCCTTCTCTCCCTCCCTCTTTCAGAACTCTTCTTTCAGCAGAAAGAAAACCTTCCCACCTACTTTCCTGAAATGCTGTTCATTGTGGTTTGCTTCTTGTCTCTCACTCCAAAACTCAAAATTCATTTCATTATACTCCATTCTTTCCTCCTTCTTTGTTCCATTTTCAGATGAAGAGGTGGGCTTTCTCTTGCTGAAACTAATTCCTATACTGATGAGCTTGCCTCCTTCACTTGTTATCTTTTTTCATCTTTGCTGTCTCTTTATTCCAGGTCTCTCTATATTTAATTAAAAATTACAGTTTCTTTTTTATTCTGAACATGACAAGAATCAATAAATATTAACATTTCTGTATGCAAAGGACAGAACAAGGGAATTGTATATGACATTGTGAATCTATTATATACAGCTTGGCTTTTTAAAAAAATTACATATAAGTTTAACTTCATAAGCCCAACTGCCTTGTTTGTGTCCCTTTCTAAATTTTATTTTCCTATCTTCTCTTTGTAAGCATTTTATCAATATTCTTTTCTTTCCTTTTTGATATCCCTATCACCTGCTCCCCCTACTCTCACAAATAAATTATAAAAGCTTTCCCTTGTATTATTATTCCTAAAATTTGTTTTTTGACTTACCAATTTTTAAAGTTAAAATTCTTTCATTTCCATTTAAATTTGATTCTTTTCTTCATATGCTCTTTATTGATGATTAATTTTATTGCATTTGGTCAGTAAAGGATATATTTACTATTTCTTCACTTATTAGGTCTTTATGCCCTCATACAAAGGGTAGTTTCTATAAGGCTATCATAGTGGAGAAATATGTATGCTCCTTTCTGTTCCCATTCATTAACACCAGAGATCTAGCATATCTAACTTTATTAAAATTCTGTTAAATTTCTTTCCTGTTTATCTTTTCATTGAACTTGTCACAGTCTGAAAGGGAGCACATTAAGGTCCCCAGTCATTATAATTTTGCTATTTCTTCTTGTAATTTGGTGAGGTTTTTCTTCTTTTAAATACTTAGATACAATATTGTTTTTATATGTTGATTATTGATATTTTGTTATGTCTATTGATATATCTATTGATATATTATTATCTATTAAGTCTTTAGGTATATTTTCCTTGCTTAACTTTTTAAACAATATCTGTTTTTACTCCTGATTTGTCTGGGATCATGATTGCTAATCCTCTCAGTTCTCTCACTATTCTTGATTTTTTGAATTTGCCTGAAGCTCGATAAATTTTGCCTCAGCTCATTAAGTTGTGAATGAATCCTTTTACATCTTATAAACAATATATTGCTCTTTCAAATCTGTTCTGCTGCCTTTTTATGGATGAATTCATCGATTCATGTTCATGTTTATAATTTTTAGTTGCTTATTTCTGTGTCATATCCTTTTATATATACTTTTTTCTCCCTTTCTTTCAACCCCCCAAATTCATTAGTAGGCATCTAGATAGCTGATTAGATAGAACGCTGGGGTTGGAATCAAGAAGGCTGGAATTTAACTCCTACTTCAATCACTTAATAATTGTATGACCCTGAGCAATTTATTCTCTCTTAGTCTCAGTTTCCTTAATTATAAAATTGATATAGTAATAGTACCTATTTTGCAAGTTGTTATATGTTTGTGTATGTATGTGTGTATATGTGTATGATTGCATATTTTATATATATACATACATATATATATATGTATATATATAAAATCACTTTGCAAACCTTAACATTTTATATGAATGCTAGTTGTTACAATCTGTAATTCAAGTGGTCTGTTCCTGCTCCTCTTTTCCTCCTCTCTTGACCAACCCTATATCAGGTCTTTGGTTTTCTTTATAAAATATTTTTTAAAAATTTAATTTAATTCATTATTTTTACATTTTAAGTTCCAAACTGTCTCCCTCCCTTCTCCGAATTAGAAAAGGCCATCATTTGACACAGATGTCTGTGTGTGTGTGTGGTTTTAGTATGTAGTTTAGTAGGTTTTAGTTTGAGTATAGTATGGTTTTTTTATATATCTATTATAAAACCATACTATGCTTTTTTTAAATCAGTTCTTTCTCTGGAAGTGGATAGCATCTTCCTTCATAGATCCTTTGTAGTTTATTTGAATATTTATAATAATCACAATAGCTTAGTTCAGTCATTCTTTGAATAGTATCGTTGTAACTATTTACAATGAAGTTCTCTCGATTCTGCTCATTTCACTCTTCATTGTTTCATGTATGTCTTTCCATGTTTTTCTCTTTTTAATATTTTTTTTTCAATTACACGTAAAGGCAATTTTTAACATTTATTTCATAAACAATTTTTGAGTTCCACAGTTTCTCTCTCCTCCCCCTTCTTCCTCCTTAAGTTGGTAAGCATTTTGATATACGTTTTATATGTGCTGTCATGTCAAACATATTTCCATATTAGTCATGTTGTGAAAGAGGAAAACATACCAAAAGGAAAAAACCATGGAAAAAATAAAGTGAAAATAGTGTGCTTCAATCTACATTCAGACTCCATCAGTTTTTTCTTTGGATGTGGATAGCATTTTTCCCTTATGAGTCTTTTGGAATTGTTTTGGATCATTGCATTGCTGAGAAGAACTAAGTCATTCATGGTTGATTGTTGCACAATGTTGCTGTTACTCTGTACAGTGTTCTGCTGGTTCTGTTCACTTTGCATCAGTTCGTGTAAGTCTTTGCAGGTTTTTCTGAAATCTACTTGCTCGTCATGTCTTATAGCATAATAGTATTCCATTACATTCATATATCACAACTTACCACAGCTTGTTCAGCTATTCCCCAGTTGATGGGCAGCCCCTCAATTAACAGTTCTTTGCCACAACAAAAACAGCAACTGTAAATATTTTTGTATACGTAGGTTCCTTTCGCTTTTTTCTGATCTCTTTGGAATACAGAGCTGGTATTGCTGGATCAAAGGGTATGCACGGTTTGATTGCCTTTTGGGCATAGTTCCAAATTGCTTTCTAGCCTTGTACCTTTACTCTCTGTGTATCTCTCTGCTTCAAATGTGTTTCTTGTATTGTAGGATTCTGCTTTTTAACTCACTCTGCTATCTTCTTCTGTTTTATGGGTGAGTTCATCCCATTTACGTTCACAGTTATGATTATGGTGTATTTCCCTTCATGTTAATTTTCCCTGTTTATACTTTTCACCCTGGCCTTCACCAGTGTTTTCCTTCTGACCATTGCCTCCCTCAATCTGCCCTCCCTTCTATCAGCTTTTTCCCCCACCCCCTTTTTTCATGTCCCCTTCCCCTCCCACTTCCATAGAGGGTAAGATATATTTCTATATCCAACTGAGTGTTTGTTAAGAGATTATAGCAACTTATCACCAGGATAATACACTATGATGAAGCAGGATTTATATCAGGAATGTAGGGCTGGTTCGATATTAGGAAAAGTATCAGCATAATTGACTGTTTCAGTAACAAAACCAACAGAAATCATATGATTATCTCAATAGATGCAGAAAAAGCTTTTGACAAAATACAAATTCCTATTAAAAACAGTAGAGAGCAGAAGAATAAATGGAGCTTTCCTTAAAATGATAGGTAGTAGCTATTTAAAACTATCAGCAAGCATTATCTATAATGGGAAGAAGCTAGAAGCCTTCACAGTAAGATCAGTAGTAAAACAAGGATGCCAATTATCACCTATGTCATTCAATATTGTTTTAGAAATGTTAGCAATAGCAATAAGAGAAGAAAAAGAAATTGAAGGAATCAGAATGGACAGTGAGGTAATAAAACTATTCCTTTTTGCAGATTATATGATATATTTGGAAACTCCTAGAGATTCAACTAGAAAGCTAGCTGAAGCAATGAATAATTTTAGCAAAGTAGCAGAATCTAAAATAAACCCACAAAAATCATCAGCGTTTCTATATATCACCAGTAAAACTCTGCAAGAAGAAATAGTAAAATATTTAAAATAACCATAGACAGCATAAAATGCCTGGGATTAGATCTGCCAAGACAAACCCAGGAACTACATGAACATAATTATAAAATACTTT